GCTGTAGTTATCGCGAAAGGCAATCCTGTCGCACAACGTCAACGTCAAGCCGACCTATCAAGACAATCTCAAATCAATCGCGTTTGCTTTCTGTGGAGGAATGTAAATACTGGGACGATCTCGCAAAGCAGTGGAAGAAAGGCACGAGGAGGTGTGGTCTTGAGCATAAGTAGTTCTCTTTTGTTAATATGTAGTTTTTGCGTGTATTAGCTACAAATATATATATATATATATATTATTTAATATATTTATATTATATTATAATGAATTAAAATATTAGATAAAACTGTAAATAGCTTATAATGTCATATAATATGTTATTTGACTTATAGAAAGTGACAAGTAAAATAGTATCTTATCAGTTTGGGGAAAGCAGTATAAGCTCTTATACATCTTCATAATATGTATTTATCTTACACTTATATTATAATAACATATAATTCTTATTACTTTCCATAATATTAATCTGACTTATTTAACCTTATTGTATCTTAGATAACATTTTCAGCCGAGGGAAAGCGGTATATGACGTTTTACATATTATTGATATTTTACATATTATATACTCATATAAGATTAAAAATGACTGGTACCTTTTTCCTGACGGACAAGTAACACAAATGCATGAATACTTACACTTCAATATATATGCCTCTGTGGATGGCTTGTGCACACATTTCTGTATTCGTCCTAATAATTCCATCTTCTGCTTAACCAGAGCAAACTTCGGTAAGAACAGAGTTATTTAGGATACTAAAAGCGATTAGAGGAACGATAGAGAGATTGGCCCAAAGGCCTGGGTACTACCACCAGAAGACTGGTATAATTATTGCAATGCCTTGAGTACAGCGGAGGCAGCATAGTAAGAGGATACTTGAAGAGACCTTTCTCTATGGCAACTGATATTCTGTCGAACACACCGAGACACAGCAGACATATTAGACTATAGTAATTAAACATATTTGTATTACATGCTTTACAATATTCTGAAGCAGGGTTCTGATTGGTAAATAAGTATATGATTTAGAATATGATACAAATATACCTGTGTATCATATTCTTATGTCTGCTGTGAGAGTCAGAGTCGGAAGAACTACTAGTCAACCAGCTCAATCAACAAAAAAGTATAGCTACATACACATACACATGAGTTTCTAATAGCTAAAGGGTTAGTACGATATTCAGTATACCGGTTGGTCGTTGGCGACAGGAAAAGTTGGCCAAACACACATGGGTAGGTATTGCAAATCAATAGATAACAACATCAACAATTGGCAATTTTGAGAGTGCACAATAACACATTCTCTTAGCTTTGCTACCAACATGCACAAATCTATACTAAGCTATTTATCTCAGCAAACAGTTCTTTTTGCTGATTAAAACCGTGTGCACACTGGCATTCAATGTACTGTCTTCGTTATGATTTTTACTTGATGCGGGAAGAATCAGGACATTGCTCTTGCGCCACTCTTTCTATGCAATGTATTATTGTTACTTAATATTTATTGCAGCTCGAGAGGATCGATCGCCGTTGAGATTGCGTTGCTAAGCAAACTAGGTGATAAAATGTCTAAAAGGCTGGATCGAGTACTTACTTTGTCTCCCTACAAACGAAAGTCACTCGCAACTCGATCCGAGAGTCGGGATGCCAGCCGACAGCCAACACAGCACCAAGCTACGAGCACACTCGACCATAAATACGCCAAGGAGTAGTTCTGATGTGGAAACAACTCGCCACGCAAAGAGGGCTGATGCGCTTGAAGTCACTATATCCGATTATAACGAGATTGTGGACGACCTACTCACTTTGTACATGTATGCCTTTGACAGATTAGGGATACCGACATTAGCCGTTGCACACGTAAAACATTGCGAGAAGGAAATCGAGAACGCTTTACATGCATTAAAAGACATGAAGAAAGCTGAGTTGCAGAAAGCTACAGAAAATAAGGAGTCAGCGAGGACAACCTTTAAGAAAGCAGTGGATTCTTTCAAGGTCACGAAGCAGGCATGTTATAACATGTGCTGCAGCACTTTCCCCGAATGTGTTGTTAGATCCAATCATGATAAAGAGATTGATGAGGCAATGGCCATATTTTTTGGCAACGTTCTACACGTGCTTGAGTCGCAATCAATTGTGGACTGCAACATTGCACTACAGTATTGGAGACAGTACAAAGAGGGGATCAATAAACTGTCCACTTACTGTGAAAAGGCTTACCACAAAATAAAAGATAAGAAAGAAACCTTTTTGACCGAGTACGATACTGGCACGCTTAGGGTTCAGGATGAAAAAAAGTTAGTGAAGGCTGGAATATATACGTGTGAATGTAGGTGGCAGGAACGTACAGACATAATGCAAAAAGTTGATGAAATAAAGGAAGAAAGGCAGAAGGTTGCAGAAATAATGGAGTGGTATTACAGAGAAAGGGAGACACTGCTGCAAGACACGCAACAAACCATGGCGAGGTTTAGGGAATTCATTGGATGGAAAACGACACGAAGATATGAGTGAAAATTGAGTATCACGTGGATTTCGGATTGGAGCTTAGGTTAAGAGTATGTTTTCCCTCAGATGTGATTTCACTCCTTGTGTCCGAATCACAGGTGACAATAGGTACACCGTCTCCAGGTCACCACGCATTTTTACTAAATGCATATATTGGTGTTCATCTTGATCGTGCATTCTGATTAACCCGAATCAGTTTCGATGAGAGCAAAGTCGGAAGGGCTTGAAAGACAGATTAGGAGTCTTGCAAAGCGTATGTTTATGAGCGAGACAGAGACTTCATGAAGTATTGTGTTGTACTTAGTATGAATAGAAGGGGCAACACTATCATAGCGAAGGATGGCAAATTATACGTCAGGTTTTAATAGACTTTTCGTTTATAAGAAGTTCTGCGTGTTCTGCTGAATTTGCACATGAGCAAGTCTGAAAGAGAGAAAAGATTTGCAGTGGCGCAACAGTTCATTTATAAATACGATTAGTCAGCATCTAAGAACGCCAAACAGTGCACAAACATCCCGCATTGGTTGCCACCCAAGGCATCTCTGTTCTCACTTTGACAATGACGACGACGGTACGGAGGAAGGAGGGCTCAAGCACTCCTCCATCGCTGATGCCACGTATTAAGCCTTCACTGCGTGCTTGAACAGTCTAACAAGCTCTGAACCCTCCCTCGAGCAGATAACCCAGCTCGTTGATTCTTACCACACTGCAGGAATGACACTGATAACATGAAATTGCTCCATTCGTCGAGCTCGCCATTGTTCGATGAGGATCTGCGTGCTCCCCGAAACATATAAGGGATACCAGGTGTGTGGTTCTGGACTAAGCATATTATGCTTTATTTACTCACCAATGATTTAAATGTTGTGTTATGCGTGCAACCGTCCCCAGGCACAGCGGATGCTCTGAAATTGCCTGCAACAAACTCCCCATCTCTCTTCCGGGATTCTGTTTGGGCCTTTGCCTTGTACCCCTCCTTACCGTTCCAGCAGACAGTACGAATAAATGGACGCAGTCGATCCTCCAATGCGATCCCCTATCCCGACGTTACCCCTCTGTCATTCTTATACAATATCTAATTGGTTGCACCTAAATTAAACTTGCCTCGAGGCTCTGAAACACCAAAATGGACGGGTTTGAAGGTTCCGTTGCTCCGAGTCCAAACTGCCAATCGTGTTGCTCGCTCTTATTGTCTTTCAGCCCGTTGCAGGCAACCCAGGGTCCAAATACTTGCGAGCTTAATGCTTAATCCCGAACTAGTGAGTACGACTCGATTATATGGCGGCAAGCGGGTAGTCGGGACACGCGCAAATCATGATCGCAGATTCTCATGAACTTCGAACTTTGTCCAGCTAACCTTGGGGTGCCGATGGAGCTCGCGGAAATATCTCAAGATTTTTTGACCCTTACGGTGTAGGTGTTCTGAGGAGGCACCGGTGATCTTTGTCGCGGATCCTAACCCTAGTTCTGTCAGACTGTTGAGCTCCAGAACATATGTGATCGGAGGAAGGGACATGTTCTTCCCGTGAACTATTGTCCGACGGATTCATTTTGGTTTCTACGCAGTGCGATAGAGACACTCGAGGCACAGGTTCGGAGGCAAAATGAAGATTTCACGCAATGGTCCACAGTATTATGGCCTCTGCACGTTCATTTGGACATGATGCGTGAGTGGAGGACTAATCTCAGACTAGGTTCCAAAATGTGGTCTCTTAACTCCGTGAAGCGGACCTTGGGTAATACACATCACTGCATTGCAAACTCCACCCAACAGGTATACGCTATAGCTAACACTGGTGTGCATGTGCCCGACTTCATGACTCGCCGTCTCATATTCGGCGTTCGGACCATCCTCCAAACCCCTCGCAACACACAACACGAGCTGACCACATGTTCTGACTCTCAGCTTTTGTTTGTCCAACATCCTCGTCGTCAAGGAGCTGTACGCAAAATTGTCGGTGTCAGCATTCTCATCGCCTCCTGCCTATCTTTGCGCTAGTTCCTAGTCCCGTATCACGAGTCTCCAACTTACAGGATAGAACCTTCCGTATATTGGTCCGATTAAAGGGAAAGGAAAGGAAGGAGAAAAGAAAAACAAGCTCTTGTCTCTCCCAACTAACCCAGACGTCTGTCTCCTCGCTGTTCCTCGGTTCGGCACGTTTTAATTTGCGCCCACGTTCTATTCTTTCAATTCCCCTTTCATACTCCCGCAGAGAGAGAAATCCCAGAGAGAAAGAGAAGTCTTTATTGTTTAGCGCTCAAAAAGGTTAAGAGGGGATAAATAAGTACAAATAACGTTTTCACTTTTGCCTATTTGGGTAGTGTCTGCATATTTCGATGATGTTTATCCTTTCCTTTCTCCTTCCCTGAGTCTTTTCTTCGCTGGGCTATTCCTGTTTGGATGGCCCTGTAATAGAATTAGAGGAATTCATTTGCTCATTTGCTTGTGCAAAGTCCGGTCCGTTGGTGTCTTTGTTTTTGAGCGAGGGTAGGGGACGTGCGGATGTAAATCTTATCGCTGAGCTGAGAGACGTCAACTGATTCTATGGATAAGGTGAGATGGAATGAAATGATGCAAGGCTGTGGGTAGATGAATGGATAGACTATTGTGCTGTGTGGTTGCTACGGTGATGAGGAGGAATGTGTGTACCTGTGTATTTGAGTAGGTGGGTTGTAGGAGCTTGTCTCGCCGGACGAGAAATGTAGAGCAGAGCAGACAGTCGAGAGAGAGGTAAGATGGGAATGGATTACCGAAGTGGGAGTGAGATTAGGTGATCGGCAATGGCTGATCGACGTTACGTCATACTTTCGCCGTCCTCAACCTTGAGACAACGGGTCATGGCAACTTAGTTGAATTCGTTACTTGGGACTCTTCACGTCGTTCACAACGGACGTGAGGTGGAAGTACGGTGAGGGGTGGGTGAGGATACAACGTTGTCAAGTTCAGAAGCATATAATATACGGGTTTACTGTTTCTCGTTCTTTCTTTCTTTCTGGTTGACTTGACCCTCTGCCTTCTCCGTCATCTTGCTGCCCACTACCTACTTTTTACTACTTTGCTGCCTCACTGCCTCACTATTGCTTCGTATAAGTGTCAAGCCAATTCAAGTAAAGTCAAGTATGTCTTTATTCTCCAAACCGCTAGTCGAACACAACACATCAAATCAAGTCAGATCAGATCAAAGTATAGATAGATAGTGCACAAGCGAAATACGTCGTGGCATTGAAAAAAAGAAAAGAGGAAAGAAGAAAGGAGAAGAGAAGAGAAGGTAAAACAAAACAAGTATTCCGTTAAGAATAAAAAAAAAAAAGAGGAGGCGACGGCGGCGGCGTCGAAAGCAATGGTACGTCAAAACAAAAATCAAAAAATCAAATATGTACTAGACGAACTAACATCAAGGAAAGGGAAAGGAAGCGAGGCAGTCCTTGCTCTATATGCAGTCAGTCAAAGAAGGTAAAAGAAAAGAAGGAAGCTGGAGTCGTCAAGACTAGCAAGCAAGCAAGCATAGATAGATAGATAGAGGTAAGATGGTAAGATGTTCTCGGGATTCGTGTAGGTCGAGAAAGAAGGATGGTGAAGGAGGGTAGGGAAGGAAGTGGTTAAATTGAAAAAATGCCAGAATACAAGGGGGTTTAATGCGGGTACGTGAAACATACGTGAAAAAGTTCATTCGAAATTCGTTCATTCATTTTTTTATTCGTCCAACAGTGAAGGTGAAGGTGAGGATCGTTCAAACGTATCAAAGGGAAGTCGTAACCGCGTTGAAGTGTGGGGCATAAATAAATGGATAAAAGGACAACAACAGAGAGGATCGAAGGAAAGGATGAAGGAGAGAGAGAAAATAAGGAAGAGAAGAATAAAAAGAGGAAATCCAGGTGCGTAGAGAAGAGACGGAGACGGACGGATAGACGATATGTTATAAAATCTGCGACGGGTCCAACAAATCCTCATACTGGATTTGCATCGAGTAATGGTCTCCGACGTATTCGCCATTAGGACCATTCCCATTCGTCGAGATACCGTCCATACCGTCCATACCACCGCCGTTCATGCCATTCATCCCACCTCCCATCCCATTCATGCCACTACCGAAACTACCCATAGCGCCCATCGAACAGTTCATAGCATCCAACGAACTCCCAAACGTCATCCACGGCGAAATCCCCATATTCTCCATATCCATAGCAATGTCGATCTCACCGAACCCGTTCGGGTGCTGCTGAGTATTTTGCATTGCGGTGGAGTTGTTGTCAGGAGGAGAGTCGCAAAACGCCCCCATCGCCCATGAAGGTAAGCCATAGTCGTCCCATTCACCTGCTGCGGGAGGTTCAGGTGATTCGGGGAGGCCTTGTGGGACTGCGCGGTGCTGCGGCTGCGGGACTTGGAGGTACGCAGTACTGTTCGATGACTGACTTGTTGGTGAGGAGAACCCGTCGGGTAAGAACAACCGCGACGAGGACGACGTAGATGAGTTGGGTGAGGTAGAGTCGGATGGGTGGACGGGTGCAGAGAGCGGACCGCTCGAAGAGCTTGATGGGTCGGTAGGGATGGTAAGTTGTGAGAGAGCGCGTTGACGAGGTTTGGCGGTGGGTGGCTCTTCGTAGACTTGGAACATTGAGTTATGCTGGATAAGGTAAGGTAGGATAGAATGGTCAGTCTTGAGGAACACGCGAGCGAGGAGAGATGGAGGATGTACTCACATTCATTTCGCCGCCAGCGGCGGAGAACGCAGGAACCTGCCCTGGTATCCCAAAGCCCGTCGACTGCGCAGCGTTCGAATGGAACTCGACGAACCCATGCAGCGCACCGTTGTACTCCTCATTGCCCTGCTGCATCTCAGCGTTGCCGTTGCCGTTACCACCCTCCTGCGACACAGGAGAGGTAACCTTCGACGTATCGTTCGAGCCTGAGCCCGAACCGTTACTCGCAGTGTCGAGCAGCTGAGGGATTTTGATCGTCGGTGGGGTTGCGGCAGGGTAAAGGTCAGCTGGCATTGCAGGTGGTGTTGGTGCACCCGGTGCGCTGGTCGACCGACGGTTCTGTGGAAGGACGAAGCTAAGAGGTCCTCCTGGTACGAGACCTTGTGCTGTCTGCGTTGAGATCTGTGCAGAGAGTGAGTGAGAGTGTCCGTGTCCGTGTCCACCGTGATGCGAATGCGAGTAGGTGGAGGTCGTGATCGGACCAGATTCGAGCGAGAAACTCGCGAGTGCGTTGCGAGTGTCGATTGCCAGACCCGCACCTTGACCAGATCCAGACGGATCACCAGGAAGCGAGGGCATAGAGAGGCTCAGCGGTAACGAGAGTGTTTGTGCTTGACCTTGACCCTGCGAACACTCCACATCGCCCATCTCGAAATCAGCAAAGTCCGCCATCTCCACTTCGCGCACGCTACTGCACGTCGTATGCGGGTATCCGAACGGGCCACCATACAGCGAGCTATCAGCAGAGAGCGAGTCGAATTCGCTGTAGTCGTCAGAATCAGCGGTTGACGCTGATGAAGACACGCTCGCGGTGCTTGCGGTAGAGCATGACGAAAGGTTACGTGTGCGTGCGCCAGAACCTCGGACACGGCTCGACGATTTAGTGCGTTCACGTCTCTCTTTCTTACTCTCTTTCTCCTTGCTTGCCTTCCCAACTGAAGGCGGCACTACTGCCATCGTCGGGTCTTTCTTTCCCTTCTTGCTCTTATCAGATCGCGAGGGCTGATAGACGTACCATGGGTACATCTCCTCGTGCTCCTTCTTCCTCTGCTTCGCGAGGTCGTCCCAGTATTTACGTTCCTCCGCAGACAGCGAACGCCATTGTTGAGAGATCGTTTTGGACAGGTCGGCTTGACGTTGACGTCGTGCGACCGGGTCGCCTTCTGCAGCTGCTGCAGCCTCCGCCTCGTTCTTTTTCAAACAGCATTCGCGACGGAAGAGGATGAAAGCGTTCTCGGGCCGTTTGATGTAGTCTTCGTCACCACGCTTTGGTCGTCGCTCGGTCCCTGCAAGTTGAATTGCGTGTGCGTGTGGGTTGTGAGGTTGGGCGGCTTGTGGAGGTTGAGGTTGCGCTTGTGAGACAGGTTGTGAGATTGACTGGTTAAGAGTGTGAGCGTGGGCATTGTTGGCATTGTTGGCGTGAGTGGGTAACTGGATTGAGGAGATGGATGCACCGCGACGGCGTGCAGCGAGTGTGAGTGGTGCACCGGGGTTGAGATCCGGAGCGTTGAACGAGCTGATTTGGGCTGCAGGCGAAGCTGTGTCTGTACGTGCACGCTGCATGCTCTGACTACGTCTCGCAATCGGAGGTGCGGTAAACTGAGTAGTAGTTGTTGTGGATGACTGCAAAGGTGTATCTCTAGGACGTTCTGGCTCGAATGGTGAGGGTGAAGTGGAAGGTGTGGACGGACTCGGCTCAGGAGGGGTGAGTGGTGGGCCACTGCTTCCGTTATTCGAAATGGTGTCATGGACGGCACTGGGGAATGTAAATGCACGCGGTGTGGGCCCATCGAGGGTGATGTCAAGCATGGAATGGTGGGTGGGGAAGGACAGTGCGCGCGGGGTCGGAGAGAGGATTGCGCCTTGGGCGTGGTCGTACATGGACATTGTCGCGAGCGTGTGCTCGTCGATTGTTGCTTGCGCTGCAGAGCGGCGGGAAGACATGCGTGAATTATTGAAGAAGTTGTTCGGCATTGGTCAACAATGCGGAATGCGCGAATGCAAAAAGGAAGGCGAAGAGAAAAAAAGAGGACAACGAAGGAGAGGCAGCGCAAGGATGCAAGGGGAGCGGGAGGGAGACAAAAAAGTTGGGAGGAGAGGGATGAGCAACTATTGTGCAGGTTATTATGAAGTGGACTGGCTGCTTACGCTTTACGTTGAAACTGGGAGGGGACGCGGTAGTCAGCTGGCTGGGGTCGTCGCGGGATCTGAGGCTCAGCACGGGCATCGCAACAGAAGATTGGAGAGACGAGTTGCAGCGATGTTTATTGTCTAGGCGGAGTGCCCGCTGGTAGGACACTTGCAAGCGGAGGACTGGACTGGAGAGAACAAAAGCGACGACATGCCGGGAGGATTATATAGAACACAGATTATGCTGCTAGTGCGAGTGGTGGACAATCCCTGCCTGCCTGATACTTAGCTAACCGTCTTCTGGACCCTGTCCTCGTGAGCCGTATTTTCGGGTTGGCGAACCCAAATAAATGATACGATTATCATCAGGCGGCGAGGGCGGCGAGTAGGACACGGCTCTGTACAGCCTACCTCTTTTGGCAGCAGATGCATTCCAGAAGCGAGCTCTTATTGTCCTATACCTATAGTTGCTGAAGTCCGGTCCAGGTACGGTCCGGGGGATCTCGGTCACGGAGTCACGCTCCACATAGCCCCTATTTTTTGCTAAAAAAGCACATGAACACTTACTTTTTCAAGGGCTATCACATGCTGTATTTACCTTTTAAAGTTGTTGTGTGGTTGGCTCGACCGAGATGCCCCGGACCGTACCTGGACCGGACTTCGGCAACTATACCTATACCCCCTCAGGTATCTCAGACTCATCCTTCCCCAATTTCCGGTAGAATTATCCTTGCCCATCCATTGTCAGTACTTACACAACCCACCAGATAGCTAGCACTCGATCTGACTCTGCTACCCGTGGGTTGCGCTGTCGAGTTGACTTGGTAGGCTGAGTGAAGTCTGAATGAATAATTAAGGGCACGCGTTGCTCAATGCTGACCAATGACTGCGACTGTCGAGTAGAGCACATCACATGTTACGTTCTACTCTATGAACGAACCAAACAGCCCTGAACCATACCCTTCTCTCATCCCCGCCGACGCACTCTCATTGGCATTCAGTAGTATTCACTCGACATGATTTACCTCCGGCCTCGGTCTCAGAGTCCGACTTTGTCATTGTCTCACTGTCTCACTCTGACGCCGAGGGTGGACTGGGATGGCGATAACGTTGCTTGGTTGAGTTGAAGGCACGCAGAGGCGGTTGTGGTTGTAGACTTTGAGCTCCGGCGGGAGTGTACAATGTACGACGTCCTATCCAATAAAACAGCCCTTCCTTCCATTTCTCGGTCCTATCAGCCTGTACATGCCTCGTCATCCTAACACTGCCATTACCATTACCATTTGTGAGCTTTGATCCCGCCGTTGACCCGTTCGTTTATGTCTCCGAGAATCCGAGAGTCCGAGTTCCACTAAAAGTATCCTCAAACCCTATGAACAGCCATACAAGCGAGCGACAAGGACAGGATTCGACGTACGGAGCTTCGGCACGAAGGTCCGAACTCCCCGACGGATGTAAATTCCGAATTTTTTGATCATTGGATATTTTGTCCGCATTGACAATCGCCTCAAGGCCACTCTCATCGCAAGGATCGTAGAGCGCGTGTCCACTGTCCTGATGGTACGACATGGCATGACGTTGCCTTGAATTCTTTGCATTGCGCTTTGTCGTACATTTTTTTCGTGCATTTTTTTCGCTTTTTCGGTCCGAGGACGAAGTGTGGTTTAATCGTATACCGCAATATCGAATTATCGATGCTACGTTTCACGCTGTGCTCTATGTAATGTGGTATGTTATGTGTTATGAGATTGACTGAGGCCCCTCCGTCCGTCCATTTCGCCTCCATAAAAATAAAAACGAAATGTCGCCGTGAAACAGAATGGATAGATTTAGGAGACTGAGAAACATATCAACATATCACTTTTTATTTTCTTCCAATTTCCACTTTCCGTTTTTCCGTTAAATTCGCGTCAACGTCATCCCGTATAATATAAACAGAGTACGGCTCGCGGGTAGCACGTATCACGTATCACGTATCACGTATCACTCACTTATCACAATGAGTGAGTGAGTGAGTGAGTGAGTGAGTGGAGTGGATCCATACTCGCGTGTTTAGCGCACGCGGATGTTTGATCCGTGTCTCCGTCCATCTCTCAGATTCTCCTCTGTCTACGTATGATGTGTCCATCCGTGCAACCCGAGCATCCGACTTTCCGACTTTCCGAGCTCCGTAACTGACAGACGGATATATCATACTACTAAATGTATGTACTAGTTTTAAAAATATAGAAATATAGAAATATAGAAATATAGAAGAGCGCTAACGAAGCTGAAGTAACTCGTGACCTCATCTTTCATCCATCAATCCGTTATTCCATTAATCCGTTATTCCATTTCTCAACTGGGCGGTGCTATATTGCTATATAGCTATATAGTTATATACTTAGTGTGCACATTGACATGAGCGGGAAATGAAATCGATATCATCATCTCATATCATTATATCACTTAACTTTGCTTTTGGTTTATTTTTGTGTAGTGCCGGGTTCTTAATGCTTTCTCTTCCGGTTTGTACTCAGTTCTGTAATGTGTGATAGATAATCTAATTAAGTATTTTAAGTATGTGGGATGGCTTATTAGCGAGCCGGTGTTAATCTCGTTCCTACCTGTGAATATAAAGCAAGATCCGGTTGACGTTTGCTGATGACCTGACATCCTGTAATGCACATGAAGGTACATTTCTCGCTTAACGTGGAATGCGCGCAAACTAATACTGCCCAGTGTCCTGCGCAGAACTGGAATTTATTTATCTGATTTGATCCCTTGGGGATACGTGCTGTATTTTCGATTCTCTTGTTCAGACTTTGCACTAGTGCTTACCATTAGAACTATGTTATAGTATGCAAGATTTGCTGACACTTCCATTTCCCCCTCCGCTAATGGTAATGGAAAGGAGGTATGTGGCGTAACACACTAACACGAATACAAGGATGTAATATTTTGCTCCTATGTTTCGACACAAGATATGTCAGTTAGACCGCATTAACCGGGAAACGTTCCCGGTATAGAAGGAATCGAATAATGATTGATATTAACATTAGTACATGCGCGCATTATCCTGTAGTACTCTTTTGCAGCTCATATGACTTACAATATTCTCCTTGTATTAAACCCCTTTATGTTTGCTAGACGGACTGGATGTGCTGGCTGGATGAACGGATTGGATGGCTGTGTTTGGATCCGTCCACCGGTTCGAGCCGACCTGCCCGATTGAATCGGCCAACTTTGGCAACTGGCAAGGGTCGCCTTATCATGGTTTAGCTGGATTATCTGATTATGTGGACACACAAAATGGACAAATTGTTCCGTTGACTGGGAACCGAATATCGGAAGACAAGATCAAGTTGTGAAGTGGTCTTGTTCTCTCGCTTGACAACATCAAAGAGAAAGAAAAATCAGAATTAAATGCGAATAACTATTTTGTCACTGGATAAGTTGGTGTGCTTTGCATGTGATTGATAATTATACTTTGAACAGGTGTCGGCGATCAGTCAACTTGCCAACTCGTCATCTGTTCTCTTCTATCGCTATGTCTGTGCTATAAGCTTTAATCTTTAACACTTCACACAACGTCTCTTCTTGCCAGAGTGATCAACTTGAGGCAGAGGCAGAGAGCGGCGCCCTATTCTTACCTCCTTTCTTCCGCTTCTTTACTTGTACCTCATTCGCCTAGCCTCCTCCTTTCTAATGCCATCAAAGATATCAGCTTCTGTACTGTACGTGCGCCGATCGCGACCGTTCACTGTACCAGTGCAAGTCGATACAGTCGATGCTTGTATAAGTTAAACTCTCTGCCAACATGGGCGAAGAAGACGTCGGGCGAGTCGGATCGTCTTTATCAATCCGCAGTCAGTCTTGGTTCTGCTTTAATACCTGAAGGAGTGACGTGCCTTGTGTCTTATTATATGTTGTATCATAGCTGTGCTTTAGCAGACCGCTTTAGTTCAGTTTGCGTCCGAGATGCCCGATGAACTAGATAGGTGAGAGGCTATAGTAGTGTGCGTTGTTAGTGAAACTTGAAGTACTGCCTCACTATCTTGCACAACAGAAGCAAATGTAGAGTGTGTGAATTGTGGAGGGTGCAACAATGTACTCTGGTTTCTTGCAAGCTCGTCACATTACATGCAAGTGCTGCATTGTTGATAAGTATATTCTATATAAATTCTCTTGTGAATGTGACCACTGCCAAAATAATTTAGTAATTTCTAGACATGACCAGTCTTAAAGATCAAGTGCAGTAGTTAAGCACCAACTATTTCCGGAAGATGTTACGATGTATTTCTGGTTTTGCACATAAAACTGCATATATGCGCATTCACATTGGCTATTTTCGAACCCACCCCACAACAGTGTGAGCATTCATTGCGCTCGGCGCTCACAAAGAAACACATGCAAGGTGCACACTCGGTATGGTCTTACTTAACAATCAGTTATGATCGGAAGACTGCAGCACGACGAGGCACATTTGTAAATATACCCCAGCGGATCACTCGGTTAGTTATTTAGAACAGAGCGGTGCAATTATGACGATGTTGAGAACAGGAATGCGGGGAACGTAGGCGCTTTGTAGACGCTGGCTCTGTAGACGCGCTGGTTCGAAATGTGATTGACTGTATACGGCATATGCGCGGCAGTGGTGCATATTGATGCTGGGATCCCGTTATTTACGGTGATCAACGCAGCTCGGCTCTGGAAGACTGGATGTTCGGTAAGTTACCGGTCAGTCAGTGAGTCGGCGAAGTCAATGACAATGACAGCACAGCCAGCTCGCTCTCTCCCGCTTTGACTCTCACGACGCGACGACGCCGAATCACACTTCTTTGCACATTCACATCTCTCCTTTTGCACATCGTGAATAGCCGAGATTGTGTTAACTAAATTTAAAGTTACTCCGAGCTCGAGTTTAGGACAAAGACCTGACGCGCCGAAAGAGGAAGGTCGAATCGGTACTTTGACGATTCATGCTACTACTCATGGTATTCACGCAGAGCAGGAACGCTCAGTCCCGGTGCGGAGATGAGCGGAAGTAATACTCATGTGGTGAACTCGGATATGTGAATGGTGCGCTCGGTACGGTGGCGATGGGTTTCGAACAGTAGACTGTCATTAAGAGTTATATTCTCTCCGGGAAGTTAGGCACTTCAAGTTATTTCTCTTTGTCCGACGTCTGATACTTTCTCAGCTGAGCATTGGCTTCTTTTCATCCCAGCGGATCCTCCGTACGTCCGATTCACTCAACGTTATCCTAGATAATCCAACCCAAAATCATCCGTAAAATATAAGCCTGACAAGAATCGTTTTTCCTGTCAGAAATTATAATGCAAACGCCGCTCAGACAGATCATGACAATCAAGGTTAAGGAACACCGAACGGAAGCGAAGCTTGTCACAATTTCACCAACCCTTTGTCTGCTTCTAAGCGGCGGTGCCGCAGATCAATGATCGACAGAGTGCTAATTGACCATTGTCATGTTTGCCGCTTGTTGCTCACTTTGACTCGATCTGCTGAAAAAACCTATTTAACTGGTTTCAGTGTGGATTTTCTTCATCTTGGGTCGATCTCACTCATATGCGTGGATGCGCGCTCTATGACAACCCTTGTTTCAGACCACCGTATCGGCCTCGTGTCCTCGAACAAAACAAGTCTGGGCATATCTGTTCTTATTGACTCAGGTTTATACAGCGTTGATTGGAAAGCCTCAAGGAGGTATCTGATTCTATATCCTCGGTACTTCACATCTTCACAAGGTTGAAACACCATTGTCAGACTCGAGGTACGCTACAATGTGCTCTAGTCAGTATACAGTTAACTTTTCTCGAAGATCATACTCACAGGCGATCGAAATTCTGTTCCGAGATTAGGTAGTGTTCACTAGTGTGCACTCAAAATCGAAGGTGAAATGTAATCAAAATCGTAAAATGTTCGAGAAGGCGTGAGGTATTCGGCTTATTTGCTCAAGGGCATATAACCGGCATGTTCAAAGGAACATGATGCTCTTAGAAGTAGTCTGTCCGCGAACCCGCTGCCAATGCAAACTTATCTTGACATACCTCGTGCCTCGAACGCGTACACTCTTATGTCCGAATGTGTTTTCAGCTCCGATCGTGACTCGGAGCATCGTGGATTCTTGAGCAAGCAAAGCATGCTCTCGTCAATCTGGATCACCTTGCTCCGAAACTAAATACTTCTCTGTCGAATTGACTTTTGTGCCATTGTCAGGGAAGGACTTTAGCTGTCGCTAGCCGGGAATATTCCTGCCGCTTTCACCTACCACAGTGACTCGGGATGACCACGGAGTGCACGTGTATTCTATACGTTATAGCAAAAAGGTGGTACCAAAGCATTGTCGCCTCGCTACTCGAACTTGCTGTAGATCCGGAAATCCTAGTTTCCCCCAATAATTCAAGTTAATGTGCATCGTGGATCATGCAAAGAAATCTACTGCACCACGTAACCCTCGCTAATCTAGTGTAATTGCCTCACGGACTTACATCCATTCGTGCCTTACTATTCTCTCTCGTCTGGCTATTGTTCTCAACTACTTTCTCATGCACGCGGTGCGGAATATGGTAATTTTTACCTCCTCACTCTAATCGTGGCGCCGCAACTCAAGCTCGCATAATTCGTAAATGAAAATACTGGATTGGGTTTGTACGTGCTATTTCGAGCATTTGTTTGCCCTTTTCCACGTTCGCTTTTCTTTTAGATTTAATTACGCAACGGTACTATTCCTTACTGTACACGAGTTAGAGGGAAATTTGTTCTTTTACTAATTACTTTTACTCGAGGTACTCTGCTTTTTTTCGCTCCGCGCAACTCGTGTACACTCAGAAGGACGACAATATTATAATGTGGAAACACGTACCTTTTCTCTTCCATTTATCCACTAACGCGTGTTGCCGCACACAATGCAGGATACTCGCTTGTGAGCCTCGAGGATCGGAGATACTTGCTCGGAATTATGAAGGGAGAAGTTGTTTCCGAACTTGTAAAAAAATCATCGGTGCAAGGAGCTCGTGCAGTGCCTCGCGTTGGGAAAAAAATATCTCAAAGTTAAAAAATGAAAACCACGCGATGTTCGAAGTGGAAGCATTATTTATTAATATTCATATACTTACCCTTTGGCCGCCGTTGTTGCCTTTCAAGGTACCATTTATGGTGAAAGGAATGAGAAGCTGCGGGGTGAGGTTCTGGTGGATCCGGAGTTGGGAAATCAAGGAATATTAATGGGAGATGTTCGTTCCGGGTATTTTGTGAATACCTGCTTGCCGTAGACAATTTCAACCAGGCGATTTCCTCTTTTCTCTGTTTTGATCTTTTGGTTTGACTCTAGTTGCGGATAAATAACATGATTAGTCTTTGAGTACTTCGGAGAATAGCAGATAAGCGTTGTGAAGTTGATTTGCACTTCCGGTAGGTCGGTTGACTGGTCTGAGAATCATCTACTCGTAAAACTCCACACTAGCGGACCGCCAATCCCTCTATTGTTCGAATAAATATAGAAAATAGAGCATAGTCCGTTGACGTCGGTGAGGAGGCTACTGTAATAATGTTGTAAAATGACACCACATTAGAGGAATCAACATATCGCTGCACTTGAGCTCTAGACTCGGTGCCTCAACTTTCGAACAAAGGAATGGGAAGTCGATTTCTATGTGAGCTCGAGGCTCGAGGCTCTCGAGTGCCTTTCCCCAATAGATTGATACCTGTCCAACTTGGCGTGTTGGGACGAGGTCCACCGAGAACGTGGAGAAGCATTGTCTACCCTCGAGAGTGACTCGATAGACATCCTTTGACATTTCCACATCGGGCTCTCGAGGACGACATCGAAGGGACAAAGCTCGGAGTAAAGGCTTCTGTACCACACAGTGCCTTCCCTGCCTCCTTTCAGTATCTTCAAGAGCATTGTTAGCGGAACAACACTCACACTCACTAGCACTGCGTGCTATTTGGGTTCTTGATCGGTGGGAAGCGTTGACAGAATCAGTCATTTTCCGACGTCGGCAACGCATGACCTTTTAAACTTCCGCTTCTCGGCGCGAAAATTACGGATATTTGAATAAATTCAAGATGAAATGAAGCGCTCAGAGAGCGCATCGTGCCCGCCTTCGGAGCGCGTTGCCCGAGTGGCGTCGGTCGGCCGCGGAGTGTGGGCAAGCACGAGCAATACGCAACACTAGTGGTCGATGAGAATTTTGCTTCCGCTGGGTTAGGGTAACCGTGGGTGATTAGATGACTCAACTGATTACCACGTGTGCGAGTGTGTACGTCTTATCTCCGCTTCCCTTACTCCTCGTGACATAACCGATCTTGAAAAGAATAATTCTGTTTATCGCTTTGTATTTGCTAAAAGGTCCGCTAGAACCGCAGTAGCGGATCATTGGGCAAAGGGCAGCACGCGATGAAGAAGTAAATTGGACGTCGATTTTTCTGTGGCGCATAAGTTGGGTGCGTGTACGCGGACTTGAAATCGTGGAAGCCCAAATTGAATATACGAGCTATCCACAGTACGATGTGACTAGCTGGGTGGGCGTTCTACTTCAGAGATTCACATCAACTCCGTCCACACCGGCAAGCTAAGCTTCCTAAAGAACCCCCTGCTGCACGTGGAATATCGCGAAGCAGACCTGTACGCGTGGCACCCGCGTTGTGTAAGAGAAGACCAGAGCAAACGAGAGAAATTCGTAATTTATTTCCACGTCTTCTTGGCTCAGTATTTGAATGGCTGGAGATACACACCATATAGCTCCAAATGAGATAGAAGAAATTTAACGATTGAATGTCGTTGATATCGTGTGGAAGCGGGAGGGCGGCGCGGATGAGAGGACCAGAATCTCTCCGTATGGTGTCAGCGCGAACCATACAATATTCCCTGCAACTTCTCTTTGTAAACAAGGTTCTGGGGTCACGCGGCGAGGCTCTTCGCATCCCCCGTCGGGGCGCACTCTGTCTTGTTTGGAGGTCCCGTGGCATACATGCCGGCACTTTGGAAGGAAGAGCCGTACCGGCGAACAGGATTGCATGTGCTCTCCGACATCCGCAAGTAGCAGGACTGCACCCAGCAAACCCGAGGCGATCGTGCTTCTGTACGAACATATACGAACCTTCGGTACGATAATCCCCTTGAGTGTCATTTCATAGGCTGTTCATCTCCGACGCCGTGACGCATGGGAACTTTGACGTACGCTTTTCGAACAAGCTTAAAACCACCGAGTTCACTTACGAGTTAGGAATCTGCGTTCGTAATTCTGGTAATAAATCAGCTGGACTTGAAATGCCGCCGTCTTCCGAGAATGAGACTCAAGGCACAGAAATCCATAAGAAATTGGCCTGAGAGCTACGGATAATGGCGGAGTAGGTGATGTGAGATCATAGGCAAAACCTCCACCGAGTTCATCCAGGCTAGAACACGAATAATTTGTACTTGACCCTTCTTAATGTCGAGCGAGATTAAACTCTATCTTGTTGTATAAGAATTTAGGGCAGTTCTGACCCAATTTCCGGGAGCGAGAATCCTTTACCCATCAACCTGTGAACCTTGAGATACCTGTGAATTCGTTGAATAACTCTGCAAAATTCCCTTCGTTCATTTCGCGAGACTCACTGCACTCCACTTGTTCAGGTAATGGGTAAAATGGAAGAGATGAAAGACTGGTTATGAACGTCTTAGCACCGAAGTCCACTTTTGCGCGAGAGTGTAGAAATCAGACAACATGCATGTCCCCGTGTGTCACGCGCACCTATGCAAAATACTTGAGGCTAGATCCTCCTGTCGACATGTGTAGATCTTAAAGCTTGGAAATATGTAACAACGAAGATAACTTTGCGTAAGATTGGAAGATCTAGCTGGCATTATATATAGATACTTACACAGGAAGCGTCAATGTGTATAATGCAATGAGACAGGCTATTGTGGTCCGAATCCGTCGTATCATTCCGAACTGCGCCGCACCAGAGAGTACGATCGACGTATGTCATCATTGAGAAGTTGCTGTTCGTAATCCCAACAGTGAATTATTTCGTTACACAGCCTAAGTGCACTAATTCGTCCGTAGTTCCATTTTACTGATCCGCCTAAGAACTGATTTAGTATTGTAAGAAACGACCGCAATTCAAACGTCACATACCGCTCGGTGATCGCGGTGAGCGCCACCACTGATGAACGGTGTGCAAAGCGGTACTCATACGTACTGGACATGTGCGTATGCTACTATTGCGCGGAAATTCGGACTTAGCACTTGTCCCGTCCGACTCAAAAAAATCACAAGATCGAATGTATGTGATCCAGGTCTAAACTAGTTGAATCGGATCCTGTAATACCACCATTACAACTGGGGCAAGCATAGTATCTCGAGCGCGCAAAGTTTTTCCCAAGCATTCATCCAAGGCGGTCCGTAACTCGAATAAGACATTATGAGCGACAGCAGAGAATGATTGAGAAGAGGCGACATGACAATGATGTGAGGTGGATGGAATGGAGTCGGCCCGACATAGGGGTTTAATCATATGCCTGAATGGCTCTGTAAATAAGTGAACATGAGGTGTCAAACTTGGAGAGAATGCAGAATACTAACGGAAGCTGAACTATTAGAGTGTTCAAATACTTTGCCGGGTGCCTGCCAGCGCAAATTAACTACCATGTAAAATCAATCAGGGACAGCATAGGGAGAGGCCAATGAGCGAAATTCGCGCCAGCTCTTGTATTTGTTATCTTCCATCACGTTGTAATGCGCTTTACTAGAAACGAGGCATCCAGTGCAGACAAAATGAGTGCTAAGTGATCCCGCTCACAAGACAAAGCTTATCGATGGCACCAACAAAGGGACAAACATTAGCGATCCAGAAAGATCCGTAGCTCCTGATCACCAGAAGAAAACCGGCACATGCAATTAGGAGATCCAGGTTGTGGTTAGTTTCTGCAGATAGGCATTCGACTTCATTCCACAGATATCAAGGGCGGGGATGAGGTACAAGACCAAGCAAAGAAGGTAAGGAACAGATGGACGCGTGAGTTAGCCGTTAATGTCATCCTGAAAGACTGTCGAGGCTATAGGGTAGCTTCCGAGGCTTTCGAGGAATGCAGATTTGTCACATATGATTCCTTTGGAGATGCAAGACCAGTACTAGTGTGGACAACAGATTTGAGGATAACAGCAGACGCAGTTGATGAGTTGGCACAGAAATTCTCACGATGAGCCTCCGCACCAGAAGTACGTTTGATTACGTACAGTGGCCCCAATGTTTCGTGAAAAGAAGTGAAAATACACACTCCTTATGTTCTGCAGAACGTAAGTCACATAAAATTAAAACGCGGTAAATGCTCAGTAGCGAAAGAAATAGTATATTGTTATGTTAGGTTTTAAATAAGATTTGTCAGCGCTTGCTACAGAAGTAGACGAAGATTGACGAACAATAAGCATAAGTGCAAGTCTAACGTGCCTCTATGCACCATGCGGCTCATAGGTTGTCAACCGCTACAGTGCGACGAGGACAACGGTGCGAAAGCTACGCGATACAGTGTAGTGAGTAAAAAAGGCATACACTTCACCCTCATGGGATATGTGCCTTGTTGGTGCAGGTACTCAACTGTCGATAACCAATTTGTCATTCATTCAGGCTTGCATACATATCCTCAGAGGTTTTGATGTATGATATAAACGCACATATGGGAAATAAATACTCGAAGAAACTACGAGTTCTACACTCGTCCATCTTTGGAATGTTGCTAGCTTGAAAACTGCAGACCTATTGCAGTACATGAGGAATCATAGTTCAATAAGGGGTATACCACTTTTACGAGGCGAGAACAATGGAGATTAGACGTACTACCGTGTGAAGCGGAGAAGGTTGAACCAGCCGTACTCCCTACAGCTTCGCAGTAGATCCGAGCTACTCCATACGCCGACCTCAGCGTGTACGCCACGGTTGCGACAATGACTGCTCAGACAAAAAGAAATGCTTGATGCACGTGGTTAGGCCTTTCACTCCGTTTCCAAGGTCCTAGACCGGTCCGAAGTGTGTACGAAAAGCTTAAATCGGCGCCGAGACATCAAGGACGAAGTCGACGAGGGCGCGTCAGAGAAAACGTGTGTTGACGTTGCTAGGGCCTAAAGCTTAAAGACGTTGATCAGACAATAGCATGACAGTAGAGAACTCATACACAGCAATCAGAAGCTCTACAGTTTGTAAGGGCTATGTGCGAGCAGTATTTTGTGCTTCAGAAGGCACCTCGGAGAAGGAACCGGCTCGAGACTCGGGGCCAGACAACTGGTACAAAGTCTGACCTCAAAGTTGAGTTGAAGTCGACAAAGTTTGAGAGGATCTCATATTTAGGATTAACACAGAGCATAGTAGCCGTAACCCTGAGTCGGAAAGTCCAAATTCGGAATAAACGTATGATTCACAGGGACGTTCCTAAGCTTTTTGTTGAAAGTTGTAGAACAATAAGAGTGGGCGTCGACAATAGGAAAGTAGGGAACGATCTAACGGAGCCTTTACCTCCGTCGATAATTATACTCAAAGAAAGTTCTTGAGTTTGACATGGATCCGGGAGAAGTGCTTAGCAAGAGCCTGCCCATTCAAAGAGGGCCAATGCGTGGAGTGGTCACTTTATAAACGTGAACGGTCCGGAGTGCCTACCTTCCATCCGTTGCATTGGCAGTGAGAGTAGATCCTGTGAGAAGCATATAGCATACACAGAGTTCATGTATCAGCTCAAGAACGGTATCCAATGTGGGGTTGCGTAAGTTGGTCGCGCTTTCGGGAACAGGATCAGGATAACAAGCTTCGAATTTGTTCGTACAAGGGTAGCACATCTACGCAGAAATATTTGTCGGTAGGATCATAAGGTAAGGGGTTTATGATAGCAGCAAATTCCTGTGGATGGACTCGAGCAGCTTCGAGAGTGAGTTGGTTCTCCGTAAGGGAGGTTAGAACTTGACGCAAACAAACCAACTTTTGACGCGTCTGTTGACGCGTTGTTTGTGCAGCGTCACGTATTACGTCAGCGATGGAACTGCGCGTTTGTTTCTGGAAATTCTGGTCCAACGAAGACTCATTGAATCTACCACATTTTATGCACTTGTGGCCACCACAGACATCTACCCTCATCTCGAGAATGATAACTCTATAACTTTTTGAAGAAGTTTACTACACTTCCAGAAGGCTAGTTACTGATGGCCCTTGAAGAATCTAGCAATGCTTGCTACTTGTCTGCTGGAGTTCCTGTCTGGTTGCTGATGCTAGCTCTCGGACGCTCGAAAAGACCGTATTCAGTGTGATGGTGTGTAACAAGTACGTGCACTAATTTTCGTGCCTGAAGATTAGCTCCTTTGGTCTCTTCGTCATCTATGTCAAGCTATAAACTGCTCTTGTGCCCCTCTTCTTCTAACGAGATTCATGCCGTACTTTCACTCACTGCTTTCCTCTGGGACATAGGAGTCTAGCTTTTCGGTATAACTCGAAACAATAAGAGAAAAAGAATACAAGCTTAATATACTGTATATCTGTGAGTTGATTTTAGTGTCCTCTTTCCCTGGGCTAATCTGATGCGCCACAGGCAATGGAACCGAGGCATATACGATGTCCCCCCCCCCCACCCTCCTCACAGGATTAGCGAAGTGTAATGCACAAGATCTTTGGAAAATACTCTCTACTACTTCTTGAAAACATGCACGAGCTACCTTTCAAATGAGGCACCATTCTCTGCACCTGCTATTTTATTGGATGCTCGGATTCTGGCTCCTCAAACTCAAGTGGCGAATATCCCATGTCTATGGTGCATTTCTCGGACACTGATCCTCCCTATCGCCGTATCGAAAGGCGCTCTACGCCGCACTCTTGCTTCGCGAAAAAAAATCGCATCCCTTATTTAGTCTCAAACATAATTCGGCCAGGCTGGTTCGTAATGTCAACTAAATACAACTGCTGTAACGCCTTTCTCTCATCAGATTCTGATTCATTCTACAGAAGCGGGTGGACGGATCGCAGATTGGGGGAGGACAATTAGGACATTTATTCTCGATTCTCGGTTGAGAAAGAAATCTTTTGGGGACAGCGAGAAGAGCTCTTCGAATTGTGGCGTTTGGAATATTGGCGGAATGAACGTATGGGAAATGGGAAAGGGACGAGGGCGGACAAAGAGCCGTTACTAACTAAAAGCTCCTTGAAGTTACTTGGTCGGGAAAAGTTACACAGATTTACGGTTCACAGTGAGTCAGATTGTTGGATTTGGAAATGTGTGAGTGTAGTGAAGAATGTGGTTCTACCGATGATCATTACCCGGACAAAGTTAGCTGACGATCTTCCCACTTGACTAGTTGGTCCGAGGTGTACCTAAGTGTGGACGCAGATCGTGTGTATATGCCAAGAATAACAGTTCGTTCGGAGCTGGGATGTTTCATATGCTTTGGACGGTCGGATAAGGTATTGTAGTCATGTTTCGCCGAGGTAAAGATACGATAAGCTTTTCATAGTTAGTTTATACTTCTCTCTTTAATTCTCAAGAGAATACGCTATGTTGCCTAGACTTGTAAAGCGACAAAATTCCTATAAACAGATAGAGTTTTCTCAACAAAATAAAGACCAACGGAGGTACCTAACTCGGCGGGATCCGATATCGGACACGACGAACAATTTAGTCACTACAAAACGAGGCTTCCATCTCTTCTCGAACTCGCTAGTTATAGTGGAATGAACAGCGCGAAAGGAGAAAAAAAAAATAGAGTTAAGTCATTCGGCATCCGAGTAGGCCGGTCGAAAGCGGCGCACTGGACCTCGTGTTACAGCGAGCGGGGGTGTGAGACGGGTCCGCGGACAAAGGGTTTCGCCGGATTTGAATTAGATTTGGGTTGGATTGGATGAGAAGGAAGGATTGATTGGTTCGTTTGGCTTCGATCGGAAGATGGGAGGTTGTTTTTAGGATGGTGTATGTGAATTGGTGAGTTATTGCGGGTTGTGCGGCGCACCGAGCTTCGGATGCTAATTATTGAGATTTAAGTCTTGGTGAGGGTTTGCCTGGATTGAACGAATGTGAGGAACGTTTCTTCCGTGTCCTAATTGTATTGGCTATTTTACCTGCTTCTCTGTAACTAGTTGTATTGTTCCGAGAATATTGGAAATATCCTTTACCTTCAGACGATCGTGTCCTACTGCATCGTCCTTTATCCCTCGAATATTCCTAGTATTATTGGAACCTTGTGGATTTTTGGAGTATAGGACTAGGTAGCTGAACACTTCGGAGTTTTAGAGTATACAAATGCGCATTTGAACCGACTGGAATTATCTTTTTTCTATTTGCCTAGAAATATATATTTATACTACATTTTTAGCTGTTCAAGAGATAGTAAGAGTAACAATCCGATCTCAGTCTTAGAGTAGGTGAGAAATCAGATTGGACCAGTAACCCAACCTGAGGATCAAAATAAAGTAACACTAAACTACACATTATTGAAGAAATTCTGTCTGTGGGTTATTACTTATATGCTCTAAAATATTGGCCCCACAGGAAAATCATTATATAAATACTAATGGATTGTGTTTGTCAAATAAAAATAATGAACAAATGAAACAAAAGCTCTGGATCCCCAAGTATGCAGATAAAACATGCAAAAAACTTGCTCTGTTATGAGAGGCAACTAGTTATTCTTTATATGAAAGATTATTCAAACAGGACTATTCTTCTACTTTGATAATGAGGAGTTATAATAAATGCTAAATCTCTTTTATTAACGGTTTTTTGAGCAGGTAACTGTTACAGTAAATACTGACAGTTACAGTGTTTTTACAATGAATACAAATTGAAACAGACTGGAATTACTGTTTTTACTTTACTAGATAGATGTATTGAATTATTGTTATTTCTTTGCTATATATTGATAAAGAACTAGTGAAGTAATGCAAAACTACACTACACACAACACAATGCTACGGACGTTCCGACTGGAGATTATCACCCATACTCCTCACAAAACATCACATCGGACCGAGAAACAGACACTACGCAAAAGACGAAGATGGTCACGAGTGTCCAACCAACAAGATAGATAGATAAGAATGATGATTAAGAAAAACGAGAACAAAGAAAACATCACGAAAGCTCGGGATTCCCAAGTATGCGGAGACAAGGGCTGTGCTGCTGTCGTGAAGGAGGTTGCGGCACGAGGACGTCCCGCGAACCAACCAAGGGATAACTCCATGTGTTTGATCGTTCCGAGTCCGTCCTCTAGTCAAGTTTATGATCCGTTGGATGGTTAGGTTAGGAGAGGATGGTTAGGAGGTTCGGACCGAACATGCTGGTGAGTATGTTGGTTGGTGCAGTGCCGACTCGGATATAGCGAGCAATGTACCAGTGCAGTACTGCTATGATGATGATATCATATGCTCATTTTGAAAGGAATGGTTATGTAAGCAGGTGGTTTGTCAATCCCGACAACCTTAGTTCAGTAGAATCAAAATGAAAAAGTACGCAGGATATTTTGCCGTTGCTTTTGTGAATGTGAATGTAACTAGAGGCGAGCGACTCGCTAGGATATTAGTTTTTAGTTCTCTCCTAACTTTTAATAAGTAGTGGAGCTGAGTTGAGTTGAGGATTAATTATTGTGAGCGGTGGGCGGTGCGGTCTTGCGGTCCTTTTGACTCTTGAACTCGACTCGGAGGTTTGGAGGGTGGTTCGCCGGGTTTGAATTGCGTTGCGTTGCGATTGTTGAGTGGACGAGGAAAATGGATCCGATAACCGATAATCCGAAAACAAGAGCGAGTGGTGTGTATTTCCCAGCATCCGACTCTGAGTCTGAATATTCGTGCGCATTAATGGAGTAGGAGAAAGCCTCCGGTCCGGAGGTTGACTTCAGACTTTGACCACGAGCCAAACAGGTACGAGTAAAGAAAGAAGAGAATTAGAACTCCGCATGAAATAAAGGCTTTGTGTACGTTGTTAGATTTGTTTGCAAAGCAAAGTAAAAGTTCGATCGGATATAATCAATGAATGAACTTACCTACGATGACGGCTGCTTCTCCTTCGAAGAATTACAGTAATTATAAGAGACGGGGATAATAATAAATATTTGGTCATGGGAGTTAACAGTATGGATTGAGGTAAAGGGCGTATTATTCGGAAGAGACAATCGAAGAGAATTTAGAGAAGTGATGAGAGATGAGGAGGGAGATGAGAGAAGGAGAGGCGATTTACTAGTTTGTGTTGTAGATCTGGAGGGAAGAGCGAGGAAGTAGGAAGAACTCTTGAGTCTTAAGATCGGGGAGATGGGAGATGGGGTTATCAGGTATGATGATGGATAATCATAAAGGACGAGAAGAGTTAGGAAGGTAAGGACTGTAACTAGCTAGTTACTTGTTACCTTGAGAAGGCTACTCTGCGAAGATCGATGAGCGCATCTCGTTGTCTTGAGTCTTGTGTGCAATCTGTTCAGTCAGTCAGTTGGTCGGTGATCGTCCCTTCGGAATCGGGGTGGTTAATTCTACAACAACAGAGGATAGGCATATGAAGATGGAGAGCGGACGGAAGGAAGTCATTGTCAAGTAAATGTTAATATGTACATGTATGGACATCCCTTTGAGTCGACCTGGGCGACGACGCGGACTCGGAGTGTCCGTCAATTCATTTCCGGTGTCTCCCTTCGTGACGGCGCGTGTCACACACAGGCGTGACTCGTGCTGGGTGTTGCCTGGCTGGATGACAGTTGGTGTTAGCCGAGTGGAAGTAATAATTTTAATTTTAATTTTTTTACATACATAAGAAAGAAAGGAAAGGGAGTGGAGTGGAAATGGATTGGCAGTGCAAGAGTAGGTAGCGTAGGAAGGCTCCGTGTATTCGGGGCAGAGATACCATACACGAGGGTTAGCTTAGCAGCACGGATCTTACATACAGAGACTGAGAGTAAGGTGAGCCGGTCTACGTCCGTCTGTCCGTCCACACAAATATACTCTCAATCTCTCCAATTGGCTTCCCTTGTTCTTTCAGCCCTCGATTCTCTCTTCGAGCAAGTAACTATACGCAACTCTACAACAACAACAACTTCGAAGAACAGCACACGAAACGATTGACAACGACGACTCGGTCGGTGTCTTCTTGTCTCCTGTTGACTTTCCAGCTTGCTCTTCCTCGACGAGACGAGACAACTGTGACTCCTTCCCTTCCCTCCCTTCCCTTTACGCTGGCCTGGCTCGATGCCTCTGCCTCTCCTCCTCGCAAGCTTCCAGGATACTCAGCTCGTCCGCAGTCTACAATTCCCGCATTTACACCCGCTCTACAACGACTCCAAAGAAACAGAAGACGTTCAGTCTCAACAACAGTTCATGCCGCCTAAATCTGTGTCGGTGTTTAGTCCCCAGGACGCGCTTGATGATGATGAGGATGGTCAGTCGAGCTCTCTTCATTATTTTTTTTTCTACTGGCTAATAAATTTATTCTGGATTTGTGCATATACGGTGATCGTTGGGCTCTACGCGCCCCGCATACATACACATACGCGACTGTAGATGACCTCCCACCGCTCGTCGAGGCTCCGCCTTACACCGACGCCGACAACTTCAACACTCGTCCTCCCGAAGTACCTCATGCACACCCCTCGCACACACATGAACCGCTCAGTCTTACACTCAGCCCGACACAACGCGTCGGAGATGGTGGTGGTAGTGGTGGGATGCAGTTCACGTTCGCGATGACTATGACGCCCTCTGCGTTTGGTGCTGAACCGTCGTCCGCTCCCATCTCGATGAACGAGAATAATAATAATGGGAATGCGTACACGCTCTTCCCGCCGCCTGGCCTCCCGCACCCACCTCCTACACCGCGCGACAACGAGAACGTCTTCCACGCGCGTACGCATTCCTTCTCCGCACACGCGCACGCGCAATTCCAGACACATGTACAAGTTCAGACACCCAACGTCGGACCTGACGCGCCAAGTCCATCCAATGCAGACGCTGGCTCACCCTCCCCTGCTCCGTCTCCCTCCTTCGCAGGGGACTCAGTGACGACTGCGCTTGGGTCTGAGTCGCCTTCGCTTGATGAGGTGAGGGAACCTGCGAGTGGGCCTTATCGGTCGCACCTCGTTCCTCCTCATCAAGGTGGATTCGGAGCTGGGAGTGGTGGTAGTGGAGGTACGGGAGGAGGTGGGGGGAGGAAACCTCCCCGTCCACCATCTTACATCCCTCGTCCGCCCAACGCGTTCATACTATTCCGCGCATCGTTCGTTAGGTCGCAGCGGATGGACAACAACAGCTCGAGTGGTGGTGGTTCTGCGATAACTGCGCATGGGGTGACGACGAAAGGTGTTAGCGCTCTTGGACCTGGGAGCGTGATTACCATCGAGGCGTCTTCTTCTCCCACTACGAAAAATGGAAAGGAAAATAAATCTCAGCTATCTTCTTCGTTCGGCGGAGGTACAGGAGGAGGCGGTGGAGGTACTGGAGGAACAGGGACGGCACCTTCAACATCCCTCAGCAAACTTGCAGGCCAAATCTGGCGTGCAATGCCCGCACACGAAAGGGCGGTATGGGAAACAAGGGCGAGGGCTGCACAGGCAGAACATAGAGCGAAGTATCCGGATTGGAGGTTTAGGCCTGAGAATGCTAGTGGTGTTGGGTTTGGTTCTGTAATGGTGGGTGGGGCGGATGATTGGGGTGGTGGTACTGCTGCAGGCGTTGCTCCTGCTGGTTCTGGAGGAGGGACGAATACAGGAGGAGGAGGAGGAGGGACAAATATAGGAGGGACGTGGAAGAGAGGAGGAGGAGAGGAAGGGAGTACGAGTAAGAGGGAGAGGAAGAGTCGGGACAGGGATAGGGATAAAGACAAAGACAAAGAGAGGAAGAGGGGGAAGGAGAGGATAAGTACCAGTGCGGGAGTTGGTACGAGTTTAGATCCTGGTGGACCGAGTACGAATAAGAGGACTACGACTACCTCGACAGCGAGTCAGACGAGGAGTCAGGCGCAGAGTCAGAGTACGAGTGTGAACCCGAGTCCGAGTCCTGGGTTGACGACGGATGCGAGCGGGAGTGCGAACCAGCCGATCGCAATATCGACGGCTGCAAGGGGCAGCACTGCGACGAGTTTGGATCCGAGTACGCTTGGGTTGCCTGCGTGGGCGATTGCGGGGTTGGGGTTTGATACGGAAACAAATCCAACTGACGTTTCCTCTCCTGGAACTGCTGCAGGACAAGCCGAGAACGAGAATGCGAAAGAAGCGAAGACGATGAAGAGCGAGAATGAAGATGCCGATACCGTCATGAAGGCGAAAGATACGGAAAATGGAGGAGGCGAAGCGTCGGCCGTCCGGTCTCCTCAGGCTTCAGGTGCAGAGAAGAAAGAGAAGAAGAAGGAAGAGGAACACGCTCCTTCCGAGGCGAACGTTTCAAGCGCAATTCAACCGACGGAATCGGATGCTACTACGGGTAAACAGCAGCAGCAAGTGCGAAGTCGGGAACAGGATACGCGATTTGCGGTTCCGTTGACGGATATTGCGCGGAGGTCGACTTCTGCGCCGTGTACTGAAGAGATGCGTGAAGGCGTACCAGCTACACCTGCTGTTACGATGCCTGGTAATGGTGCTTCGCGTCCCAGTCCTGTACCCGCGCCGGCGTCAGTGTCTTCAAATCCCTTTCAAGCACACTCCCCACCTTCTTTTCGAGCGCACCCGCAGAGTGGAGCACTTCCCACACATACTCGAGATCGCAGCATCACCACTATGAGCGTGAGCTCTGGAAGTACTGCTAGCGGTGGTGGTGGTGGTGTCGTGCGCACCGCGCGGAGGAATACAACGTCAAGTGTTTCGGGTGCAGCTTCGAGGCAGCTCTTTCGGACGGGGTTTCCGCCAAGTATGAATGTTGGAACGGGAGTTGGGCCTGCTTTTGGATACGGACATGGACACGGACAACATTTTTTGTACGAGTATGGACGTGGGGTAGGAGAATTTGAGGTGAGTAGGTTTTAATTTTGGTTTGGACGATAGTTTATTTTCTTGTTTTTCTTTTAACTTTAATTCTGGGATTATTGAACCTTGTTGAACTGAACTTTTTTTTTGTTGATAGCATGCTTCACCACCACCGCTTTCTCCGTCGTTGTCGTCTCCGCTTTCGGCGTCGTCGCCTACACATACACATGGACTTGCGTCTCCGTCGTTCTCCTCTGCGTACGTGCAGCCTTTCTCGCCGTCGTTGGTGCATCACCCGCATCCGCATCCGCATCCGCACCCGCACCCGCATCCGTATGCACATGCACATGCTAGATTAGCGGCTCACCAGCATCACCAGCATCATCAGCATTATCAACCGCAGGCGATTAACTCGTTCTCGCCTGTACATCCACCGCCGGAGGGGTTCTCGTTCACCCCGGTCGAACCGTCGTTCTTTCAAGGAACAGGAACGGCTGGTGGGGAACAGGAGAGTTCTTCCCCGGAGATGAGCATGGACGTGGAGATGCAGGCACAGCATATTCCTGGTGGAGGTGTTGGGACGAGTACAAGTGCGAATGTGAATGCGAATCGCTTTCCGCAGATTTCGTCGTATTCGTCGCTTACGGGGTGGGCAGGTTCGAACACGACGAACGTTGAATATGGACGTGAGTACGGTTCTGCAGCTATGGGTGGTGGTGGAGGTACTGGTGGTGGAAACACTACTACACTTCTTCCGAGTCCTGCGCTTTCTGAATTTGGCGGGATGGGTGGAATGAGGGGTGTGTTCGGTATTTCTGGTGCACCAGCATCAGCATCTGCGTTAGTCCAGGCTCATCCTTACTCTTACCCTTCGTACGCGGATTTTGAGACAAGTGCGTTTACGGGTTACAACAACACGTACGGTGCGTTCGAGATTGGGATGAGTGGCGGTCTTGGAAACGTTCAGAATACGGATACGAATACGGATACGACGACGAATTTGAATTTGAATTTGAATTTGAGTGGAGATGTGAGTGGGATTGCGTTTGGACCTGGACCGAGTGGTACTACTGGGAACTCGACGCCGACGCCGAGTCCGACGGAAGGGATGGGTGGTGGTGGTGCTGGTGGGGAGGGGGAGAGAGAGAATGCGTTTCCGTTGCCTGTGCAGGAGAGGACTGTTACTGCCCAACAACATCACCAGCAACACCAGCAACAGCAAGGAACGTCGCATGAACGACAACCTCCACCGTTTCCGATGCAGAGTAGTTCGGCGGAGACAACGTATGGGAGTCCGTCAGCTGCTGGGAGTCCGACGTATACTCCGCAGTATGGTGGTGGAGTTGGCTCGACTGCTGCGAGTGCCACTGCCACTACTACTGGTGAAGGACCTTATGTTGTGGAACGGTACTCGATACCTGATCCGGGTGCACGTATGACGCGGACGAAAGATAAGAAAAGGTGAAGAGAAGAAGAAACACCAGCTAGCTTGTCCGATACGAATGAATTAAGCACGTACAACGCGAACACCTACATGTCACGGTTTCGAAATAAATGGGAAGAAAGCAAGGAGATATGGAACGCTTTTTTTTCTTTTTGTCACTCTCGCTCTTATGTATTTTTTCTGATCGCTTGTCTTTTGCTATGCCTGTCCTTTTTCATCCTATTCTGTTCTTCATCCTCTCTGTTCTCTTCTCTCTCAATCGCTTGTCTGTGTTACTTTCTGTTATCTATCTATGCTTCCCGGTTGTCTTTGCGTGCAAGGCAACGATTATGCTCTCTTTCACATTCCTCTGTTTTTTCTTACTCTTACTCTCCACTTCTTACCTCTATGCTTCCTTCCAATACCAAGGAAACGCCTCTGATATATCGATCGATATTGACAATACATATCTATTTAGAAGTCTGGGGACAGATAGTCATACGTGTATGTGTATAAACCTAACCTCTGCATATCCTTGTCCCAACTCACTTTGCTATGCGTTTCCTTTACTTGTCGTTTCCGCGATTTCTATCTGTTTTACTTTCTCATTTTCTATCTGTTGTTCCTGTATTTGATTTTCTATCGAGTGGGGTTTATCAAACCTCGATGTATGCATGCCTGTCCTTCTGCCCTCGTACTAACAGTTTCCTGTTATTTCCAAGTCTAACATGTGTATCTTTTTTTTTCTTCTTTGGTCCCTCCCCTGCTCCCTATCCTGTACTCCCTGCTCATTACCGTGTTGTGCATTTGTTTCGTGGATCCTGATGTTCGAAAATTTCTGTGCTGGTAGGTCGTGCATGTTTGTATGTGAATGTAATACACTTTGCAGATTCGAACAATTGTATTGAACCTATAGGAACACTTTGCTCTTGTTATCTATTACTATGACAACATGACGAGACTTGTTTTAAATGGTACAGGTAAATATGTCATAATGCATAACGTTGGGAGAAGGCCAAATTCAATGCATTATATGTGTTATGCATTATGGTGTACAATTTAAGAAGGTAGTCTCATTTTTGTCATAGAAAATATTAATGTGTGTAACCTCTCAGGTTACACACATAATTTAGAATACATATAAAAGAGTCATAGGTACCTACTTTGGGTCTTATCTTTGTACTTTGCTCCTGTACTTAGGTCACTAGTCTCAATGCCATAATATTGCCCATTCTGTTTCCTGAGTGATTGTTAAGATGAGACTACACAAGAGTATGTCTCAGATGATATAAACTACATTACAAACAATGACAAGCAATGATGGAATACATTCCATTATACATTCTACATCTGAGACATACCTACATAGTATATATAGACTGACTAATTAACAGACAATAAAGTAAGTTGCCAGAGAGCAAGCTGAGTCCACTATCCCCCCTCTTTGTGTGATCCCTCTAAGCCTCTCTCATAACCCCTTCTAATAGTGATGCTCCAGCCTTACAATGTGTTATGCTAAGTATGCATTATAAATTGATGCATTATAACATATTTTACTGTGTTACTAATATAATGCAAAGTTAGACTGATGAATCACAAGTTTTCTCATACAGATAAGCAAGTGCTTGACAACAATCATTCCTTGCATTACCAAATGATATGAGTGCCACAATGATGGTAGTAATTGATGGCTGTCTATAATCAAGCTTGTAGGGCCAGAGACTGAATATCTAGTCCCTGTACCAATTAATTCTAACTACAATAAGAAATCCACTGTGCTTATAGTATACAATCCATCATAAGTACAATAAACAGGTTCTAGTGTGTTTTATTACACAATCAAAGATCTACTTCAGAATAGGTTTCAGCATGTGGCATAGGCATAGGCCCAGTATGATTGCATATCATATTGTGATCTTCCTACTATTGTAAGACATAGTAAATGGCCAACCGTTTTTGCAAATCGAGATGCACTCCCACCATTGACAGATTCCTACAATTTCTTCCTTTGGCAACTATTGCAGCTGAAACGCATTTATTATGAGGGTTACCAAAGACACAACGTTGAAAGAAGATGAGCAGAATTGGGTGTTAGTTCCTGCCAAGAACGGTCTTCCAGAGTATTATGAATACACGCAGCCTGTTGAAAAAGGTTCCCTGAATGACCGTGAATATCGTATTATTCGTTTAAAGAATCGTCTTGAGGCGACAATCGTTAGAGACAAGGACGCGGACATGTCCGGCGCTTGCATGGATGTTTCGACCGGATATTTCCATGATCCGGTAAGTAAAGTCACTTTCGTCTTTCTTGCGATCTGTGGCATGTTCCTCGACGCACCGCATTGAAGCTGCGTGCTTGCAATGAATAAATCGTCTCAACCCCAATGCTTTTGGTGGCATTACTCATTAGTCTATAGGACAAGATGCCTGGTATTGCTCATTGGTGCGAGCATTTGATGTTCAGGGTAAGCGGGACTCTTAAAACTTGAAATCCTTCTTGCGCTCTGTTAACTTCTGTGGCTGTTATTACAGGGTACGAAGGAACATAAAAGCGAAAATGGGTATGACAAGGTACAGTTAATTTTCTTCAAATTTGAAGTTCAGTGATCTCAAAACATCTCTCGTCGTATACAGTACCTTAGCTTGCACAGCGGCGAAAGTAATGCACATACAACTGGTTCCTACGCCGAATTTCACTTTGAAGTTGACTCGGATGCACTTAAGGATGCGGTTGTTCTTTTCTCTGAATTTTTTCATTGTCCACTCTTTCACGAGGATTCAGCACTGCGCGAGGTTGAGGCAGTCGATTCTGAACACACGGGAGCTCTCCAAGACGATGGCTGGAGGCTAAAGTATGTTAACAATTCTCTTGCACGTCCGGGACATCCGTTACGAAAGTTCGGCAACGGAAGCAAGGCTACGTTAATAGGGAAGTATCTTGTATCGGAGACACCGCATTCGCAGCATATGTCAGATAAGGACAGGCACGATCACAGATCATCTAGTAGAGCCTCTCGCACTGAGAGCCATGGTCATGGCAGAGCTTCAAGCACGAGCTCTACTCGGAACTCAAGCGCATCAACACGAACGCATTCGGAGACGAGGCATAGGGACGGGAGCACGGGATCTGCCAAAAGACCGAGTAGAACGAGCTCTCGGAGTAACAGAAAGGGGATAGAGAAAGAAGAAGCAAAGAACGCTAGGGAGAAAGCGGAGTTGGAAGCAGCGAAGAAGGCAAGGCTGGAGTTGATAAAATGGTGGGAAAAGGAGTATTGTGCTAGTAGGATGAGCTTGGCATTAGTTGGGAGAGGTTTGCTTGCTTTCCTTTAGCTTCAGCTCGATCCTGATTGTGAGTAGAATCTCTCGACGACCTCACTCGCATGGTTGTGGAGTATTTCTCGCCCATCAAAAATACGGGACAAGACCCTGCTCCATTTAAGTCTTTGGCGCAACCGTACGGGAAAGAAGAGCTAGATGTACGTTTCTCACAAATCTAGCAGGTGCTAGCTTACGTTGAGCGTAAAATTGCATTTTCTAGAAAATCGTCTATGTTAAGACAATCAAAGAAAGATATGAAATCACTATTTCATTCCCACTCCCCTGGCAGGGTCCTCTTTGGCGTGAAAGCCCAACAGATTTCATTGGCTATTTACTGAGCCATGAAGGGCGAGGCTCGCTGCATGCTTACTTGAAAAAGAAGGGGTGGATTGAGGGACTAATCGCGGGACCTATGGATCCCGATCGAGGCATCAGTGTGTTTGTAATCAAGTTAGGGCTAACAAAGACTGGATTCGGTGAGCATCCTCTGCAGCTGTTCCTTGCTCTCGCGCCAATATTAACGAACCTCGTTAAGAGAACCACGAGAAAGTAATACTAACGTGCTTCAAGTTCATCAGTCTGTTACGCAAGTCAGAATTTCCAGAATGGATGCACAAAGAGCTGAGGAACATACAAGAGTTATCGTTCCGGTTTAAGGAGAAAGGCTTTGCACTTCCTCATGCAATGGGTATTGCTACCGGACCAATGAATCTTCCCATTCCACGTGCCCTTCTCTTGAATGGCCCCGTCCTATTATGGGAATGGAATGAGGGGCTTGTAAGGGATATACTGAAGGGATTGGATATCGAGAATTGCTACATCATTGTAGCCGCTAAGGATCATAATAACATTAGTGGAGCGACATGGCACAAGGAAAAATGGTACAAAGCAGAGTATGCCATGAAGCGGTTCGAATCCCGATTTATATCCGAGGTATGTACGTCTCTTCATGATCAGGGATCTATTACATGACCTCTTGTTATTTTAGGCTCGCAAGGAAAATGATATTCCTGAACTTGCTTTGCCAGAACGCAACCCATTCATTCCAGAGAACTTTGATGTCGATAAAGTGCATGTTACAGAGCCACGGAAACGGCCTGCGCTTATCGAGCGCACGCCACTCATGGAAGTATGGCACAAGAAGGATGATCAATTCTGGGTTCCGAAGGCTAGTGTTAGGATTGCAGTACGAACGTAAGTCGGTTCTTGTCCGTATTCTTCACATTATCATATCCCTTTGTACATAACTCTCCTTAAAAACTGGGCAGACCTGCCGCCACGACAAGCCCTCGCACTTCTGCATTGACGAAACTGTTCGTTCGACTTGTGAAAGATGAGCTCACTGAGTATGCATACCCTGCTCGTGTGGCAGAATTAGGATTCAGTCTAGTCCATAACATCCGTGGCTTCGGAATAACGCTCGGTGGCTACAACGATAAACTGCATATTCTTACGGCAGCAGTCCTCAAAAAGATTAAACATCTCGATGTCCGAGAAGAGAGGTTAACGGTTTTTATCAACCAAGTTACGTTGTTTCAAATCATAATGGCAGGAACAGGTAGCTGACATTGGAGACTATTGTTCAGGAAAAACGAGTACTAGAGAATATGCGGTTGAGTCAACCAATTAGTCTATCCACTCATTACTTGGGATACATTACAGATGATCATGGATTTAGCACGGAAGAGAAACTGGAGGCGTTGAAAGGTTTCGTTCCTTATTTACACGTTACATGATAAAAAGTTACTGATAATCAACAGATATTTCTGTTGATGAACTGTCTCACCACGTGAAGGTATTGTTATCCCAGCTGCGACTTGTGATTCTAGTCACCGGAAATCTAAAGCGAGAGGTGAATCACGGATTTTGTCGAATTGTAATACTTTCATATATAATGTATATATTGTTGCATAGGATGCTATGAGCATTGCAGCCAAAGTAAAGGAGTCGTTCGGAGCTAGACCAGTCCCTGAGGATGAGCTCCCTAAGATACGTACTCGGTTGCTCCCCAAAGGTACGTGGGTTGTGTTCCAAAGTGGACTTTTAATTATAATTTCAACAGGATGTAACTATATCTGGGACCCACCTGTACCTAATCCGGATGGGGACGACTCAAGTGTCTCTTACTACTGTCATATTGGCAGCATTTCCAACTCACGCACTCGTGTGACATGCCTTCTTCTGGCCAAAATTTTGGACGAGCCATCATTTGATGTCCTTCGAACGCAAGAACAACTCGGATACAACGTGTTTTCTTCTGCTTTACCTGAAGTCGAGATGATTGGCTGGCTAATAGGTATACAGTCCGAGATGGACTCAAGATATCTCGAATCTCGCATTGAAGCATTTCTGAGGCATATGCGCAAGATACTCAAGGACATGCCAGACGATGAGCTTGATAAGTACAAAAAGTCGCTCGAGAAGGGATGGACAGAAAAAATTAAGACGGTTCCTCAAGAGACAGGAATTTTCTGGGGTTCGATACAGGGCGGATACTATGATTTCAGACAAAATGAGAAAGACGCAAGACTCCTACACGAGATATCGATGAGAGAAGTTCGTACAATGTTCAAAGAGTGCCTCGATCCCTCATCAAAGACACGCTCCAAGCTTTCCATCCACATGCGTTCTCAAAAACCGTCTAAGCCTCCTAAAGTTCCGGTTGAACCCAATGTCAGCATCCATGCTGCTCAGGAGTTCATGGGTTTACTAAAGAAAGAGGGGATCTGTGTAAACGAAAATGAGTACAAATCGAAATGTGAAGTCGAATTCACACTGCCTGAAATGCAAGAATATCTAGAGGAGACATGCCTGAGTGAATTGCAGAAGAACAATGACACTAAAGTCCAGGAACTGTTTAGGAGGCTGAAGTCACTTGTGGAGAAGCATCCTGTAAAGCCTGCTCTGGAAGTTAAACACATTGATAATGGTGCCAAATTCCGACAGGGTCTTCAGCTTTCTGATGTTGCAAAGCCAGTGAAGAAGTATGAAGTAGAGTAGTTTGAAAACCACGCCCTCAGTAGCTGATAAGAGATGATCAATGTGGTATTATTATTAATAGAACCAGAATATTTATTTTATTTATTTACTTATTGCTCATGTGCAGCAAAAGTATTCCACGCCCCGGAATAGGATTACTGCCTTTTTCATAAGTATTGTCACACTTGATGATTCATCATTTTTTGTCACAAAAGTAAACAAAACAAAAAAATAGCTATTTCTCACTCAATTCTGCACAGAATTCAGTGATTATTTGATTTAAATTCATGTTTTTTAAATATGCTTCAAATAGACACTTTAATTATTAAATTTGAG